CATGATTTTTATTAAAACAGCGACTTTGCAGTGCTTTTTATCGTGTTTTTTATAGTTGTATTTTTGCGATTTCTTGGTCTCATTTGATGAATGGAAGATAATATTACAGAAACATAGGTGATTTTGATTGGTATTAGCACTGAAAATGCTTGAAACTGAGCTTCAAAGTAGCGGAAATGTTAAATTTTTGTCATGCCCAAGAGTAAACAAATGACCTCACACGTCCTAATACACGCGCCACAGGTGGGGGTCAATAACATTCACAAAAGGAATGAGATATTATTACAATTATTACAATACTGCATAACAGTAAATCCTTCTATTTTTTGGTTTAAAATAAAAATTCATTATGTGAATAAAAAACAAAATGGATTCACTTGTAAGTCTTCAAAACATAACCAATAACAGAGGAAATGTTATTTAAGCGCCAAATGTCTTGCATTGTTTATTCTGGACCCTATTCTGAAATTGGAATATTTTGAACTTTGTGTTAAAATTGGCCAAATTAACCATTTCCGATCACTTATTTTGTAAGTTTAAACATTGACTGGCAATTTATTGTGCTCAATCGATAGAGAAAGAAGTAATACTTGTGAAATAGGCTAAAGATATTTGGCCGACTGAATAATGTACAGTGGGTCCCTCAATAATCGTCCATAACCCGTTCCTGGAAGTGGGACTATTATCGAAATAGACAATTTTCGAATCAATTTTCCCCATAAGAAATAATGTAAAATGCAATTAATCCGTTCCTTACACCCAGAAGTAATAAAAACAAAAAATTTTTTACATGAAATATAGATGTAAGTCATAAACAATACAATGGCACATGAATGAAACATTAACAGAATAACACTTACCTTCTTTGGGCGATTCTTCTTAAGTGTATGGAAGAGACAGATTGGATTATTTACAGTTTTGGAAGGGGAATCCCCCTTCCATCAACACTCTCAGGTACCAAGTGCTTTTCTGGGGTTACTTCTCTTCTCTGTTTTCATTAATGCACTAGGACCAGCTTGAGAGTCACTGGAGTCCTGTCACGCAAAAAAAACCTGTCCCGAGAGCTCTGTTTCTGGGGCGTCTCTTTAAAAGTCCCTAAATGGGCTAAGACACTGTCAACTGAACAAGTTGCTGATATTGGCTTGCAACACCCTTCTCAGGTGAATGTTTCTCCATTAAATCTTTCCATCCTACCCCACATTTCAAAAATCACCTTAATTTCTGAGAAGGCAACCTTCTTCCATCTCACTTCCTCCTCCTCTGGCAGCAAGATTCTGAGCTGCGATCTGTTGCACTTCCTGCAGAAGCTCTTGCAGCTCCTCAGTGGTTAGCTCTTCGTTGTGGTCATCCCACCAAACTCGTCCACATCCTCCAAACTCAATCCAACCCCATGGAACTCCCCAGTTGTGACAACAGAGTTCACAATTGACTTAGGCTCATCGGGGCTGCCTCAAACCCTTCAAAATCCCTCTTGTGGAACACAATCTGCCACAATTTTTCTCCAAGCAGAGTTCAAAGTCCTGGTAGTCACTCCCTCCCAGCCATACCTATAAGCTTATGCAATGGAGAAAATACAGGAAGTGATCTTTCCAAAACTCCATAAGGTCAAGTGAGTGTCTAATTCACATTAACAACTCCCTACAGGGTCCCAAGCCAAAATCTGAAGTGGTTGCTCCAGTGTCCAAGAAATTTTTTGAAAAAAAAAAAAAAAAAAAAATGTATTTTTTTTCTTACAGAATTAAAGAGCAAATTTTTTGTGAAGTAATAAGACAAAAAAAAAAATTCTGATCAGTACTTACCAGAACAGTGCCAAGAAGTTTGTCAAAAATGAATGGTGGCGGGCAACATCGACGAATTCCACATACGCGCATTACAATATTTGCGGTTTTTATAGTTTTTTTTTTCTTTTCCTTTCCAATTTTATTCTATTCCTACTAACATTGGGGCCTGAGAGACCAAATACGTATATAATGTATATATATAACCCCACTGTATTGAACACAATAAACCACACTAAAGTTAATTATCATATTATTGTTTACCCACTGTTGTTTATAACAAATAAACAGCACAAATCTTGTAATAATGCTAATGTTCTATCATATATTTACATATTACAATCACTGGACATGGTTTTTAGAACTGCTGGAGCTTGTTAACTCCTTGAAACAAGTCCCCATGCACAGAGGCACCTTAACCTTCCTCCATACCTAACCGGTGTTCTTTGCATCTTGTGTGTAGCCGTCGATTTTGTTTGTGGCACAGACGATGCTCTCTTCACTGAGCCAATATCTTCTGAGTTGAAAGTAAGTTGTATTATGAAAATGATCACCTTCCCTCTCAAACTGCTGGTTATATCACCTGGATAATTCGAGGACCTTGTTTGTATACAGGTGTTCTTACATCTGTACATCATTATGAGATGTCTGACAACAGACAAACAAATTCACGATACAGTGGTCTGTTGCCAGTCTTTATTTGACATATTATATGCATTGAGCATTGAAATGTCCATGAATGGAAGAAAAGTTTCATGTACCACTTGTAACTCTTACGAACACAGTCAAAACAAAACCAATCTGCATGTCACATTTGTCACCAACGCATGTTTTGTGTATAAACAATCACTGACCAATGGTTTTCCGAATACGTCTCATTATCACTCGATCAACTTTGCACCTGTCTTGCATTTCATCGTGATTGGTTGTCAACAATGTGACATCTCGTTTGTCATGGCACCGTAATGCCATATGTCATTGGCAGTAAACACCTGCAACGTCATCACCACGAGCACCTGCGTTGAGCCTGGGCATATGATTACGATTAGAACGCACTGAGCCACACGACATCTCTTGTTCACTCGCATGAAATCAACTGAGTAATGGGCTTGTGTAACCAGTTATCGGTATATAATGTAAGATAAGGTGCCATCATGTTCTCACTACGTCAACTGAGATACCCAATAACATCTTGGTATCTTTCAATGTTTTTACTACCCTGTATACAACATTATCCAACACCAGGCACTGTCACAATCACAGAGTACAAACAGTTTTATACCAAAGCGTTTCCTCTTGCTCGGTAATATACGCTGAATGACAGTCTACCTTTGAACTAAAAAAAATCAAAGACTCAACAATTACAAGATTCTGAATGGATAAAAGTTAATGCTGAACTTTTGTTTGAGATACATGAAAAACATTTCTAATCTTTGTATAACATGTCACTCTGTCAGGCCTGGTTTTTGTCAGAGAAGTGCAACATATCAACGAGTAAGATAAACAACCTGTTCACTGGTAATGATTTCACTGAAGACCGGGGTAGAAATAAGCCGATCCTGTGGACCAGTATGCTTTTATAATATGCTTTATAGACATGAGGCATAAGCATTAAATTGTTTGCAAAAAGCAATACATTTCTGCAACAGTCGTCTCTTTTTCCACCTGTGTAGTCTTGACTGTGGTATATGATCGTATTGCCATGGTTACTCAAAATCCCTTATTACTATCCCTGACAATAGTTTTCATCAATGGCTGGTCAAAGAATAATTCAAAGAATTCCAGTTTCATTGGCCATGGTTCCCAAGCAAGGGGACAAGTAGTAAAATTCCACTTTGAGAGTCCAACAAATGGTGAGGCTTGGGAACAAATTGGGATTTTGCTGCCAATCCACATACGGTTTGCTGGTTGGATACTGGACATCATAGGCTGGTTGTGCGGGTGTGTTGTGGTTGTGGTGGGCTTGTGGCTGACGCTCCGCTTTGGTCTTTGAACTGACGAGTCAGCAGTGTGGGTCCCACCTCTGTTCTGGTGAGTCCCGCATGGCGGTGCCACTACCCAATCACCACTACCACCATCCACTGATGGCCTGTGGCATCCATGCCAAGTGTAGCCACATCATCCCTCACTATCACTACCTAAAACTGGTGTAGGGCCACGGGAATTACTCCGAGATGTTACTCTCCGTTCCCCTGGGCACAGCATAGGGTTACACTACCCAA